TGTGTGTGTGTGTGTGTGTGTGTGTGTATGTGTGTGTGTGTGTGTGTGTGTGTGTGTGTGTGTGTAGCATGTGCGTTCACATGAGGCAAACGGGAGCACGGTAAACCATACTCTCGCAGCTCCGACAAACTCGTCGGCCCATTCATGATCAAAAGGCACGCAGCGGATGTGATTCATACCGCGGCACGGTAAAACTATTTCCTGTTCCTCCACAGGCGGAGAGAGGGGGCCGTATATTGTCTATCCACAGGCCAGTTGGATAAAGAACGAAGTCCCTTTTCGGAAGAGGTGGGGATTAGGGTGGATCTTCTTCCGAAGGTGGAATGGGGGCTTCTCTTTTGCCTCATAGTAGGGAGGGGGGATAAAAAAAAAAATAAAAAAAAATCATTCTCTTATGCAAGGAAGATATCATCACAAAGACGGAGAGAGAGGGAGCACTTATTCACGAGTTTTTATGAGCGAGTGAAATACGCAGGGGTTGCAGTGTCCTTGGTAATATCCAAGATGCAGAGGATGAAGGCACAGAAGGAGGCGGGACGAGCATGCGACCCACTAGTAGTTCCAAACGGGGACGCACAATAACAGCACATGCACTTCCCATCCCTGAGTCGTCATTTTCCAAGACGAAGAATACTGACGGAACGAAAAAACGAAAAGAAAAGAAACGGAAAGAAAAGATAAGAAAAGAAAAGAAAAAGAAAAGAAAAGAAAAGAAAAGAAAAGAAAAGAAAAGAAAAGAAAAGAAAAGAAAAACATGCATAGGGAGGTATGACCACGAGGCAACCGGATAGATCAACTTTTTTATGCGAACACAATTAGACACACAAATCTCATGAAAGATTGAAATATCGACAAAACTAGGGGAAGGGGACATGTGCCTTACTAGCCATTCCGGCGCCGTTTGGGCGGGAAAGCATAATAATGGTACACGCGTTCCCTATGCCCAGGTTGCCGCGATTCGACACAATTATAGACACAAGATTCGAAACAGGAAGGACCAGCCTTTCACGAACCATTCCCATTATCCACACAGAGAAAAAAAATCATACGCCATCTCGAACAGAAGCAATCCAATCCCAGGAAGATCATGATTCAGAAAAAAACCATCAGTCTCTGGTTTTGGCAAAAAAAAAAAAAAACGTCGTTTTAATCGTTACATAAGCCTCGACCATTCCATCGCCATTATGCGCACACTGGGAAAGGAGAAGGGGGAGGAGATGAGAAGACGAAAAGGGAAGGGAGAGGGAAAGGGAAAGAGAAGAGACTCCTTCTTTAGCTCTATCCTCCAGATCCTGGTGTGCTCCTGTATCTGCACGGATCATCACGCCAAATTGCAGGAAGGGTGTGGCAGTTCCCTAAAGCGCTTTTCTGCCCCGAGCAACGCGGGGCATCATCAGAGGGGGGGAGGACATCTTCCATGGTCTTTGGAAGGCGAGGGGGAGGGGGCGAAGGAAGGGGGTTGCGGAGGTACGGGGGGATTTTTTGTTTACGGAGGGAGGAGGGGAACCGTGGCGGGGGGAACCGTGGCGGAGGGGAACCGTGGTGGAGGGGAGAGAGCATGTGTAGGTTCGAAGGAATCGGAGGTTCATAGGGGGCTGGTGGAAAGCAGTGGATGGAGTAGACGAAGTAGAGGAAGGATAGAAAAGAGAGGAACGAAAGAAAAGCCAAAAAGGCACATGAAGACGACTCCGTCGCTGCTTTTGACTCCATGATTCCACCAGTAGCAAGATCAGCACTAGGACCAGCGCGCGAAGCTAAGGGCGTAGAATAGGCAGCAGCAGCATGTGAAAAAAGCGGTCGCAAAGCAGATGGTCGCTGCGATTAGCAGTGCGAAGCGCTTTGTCGAAGAGTATAGGTACACCCTCTCCGATAGGCAAGCGGCGCAGAGGAGGCTTGTGATGGCGAGGTTAGGCAGCAAGGCGAGAAGCAGAAGAGGGGCGAGAATGGCTCCCAGCGTATGGGCATGAAATCGCACGCAAGGTAGGTCATAAGGCAAAGGGCAGGTCTCACCGGGCCGCATGATGCCAGGCGGAGCTGCAAGGTAGCGCTAAGGGTCCAGACAGAGACTGGAGAAGTGGAGTTCTCAGTGCGTTACCACTTCTTCCTCATCCCGGAGCTCCTCTTCGTCGTCCCAGTCGGCAGTGAAATCCATTGTGCGAGCAGGCACCTCAGGCTACCGTACAGCAAAAACCAGACCGCGTCGAGCCTTAACCGTCCAGTGAGCGTTACTTGCCACACGACGAATCGATGAATAGTGTCGGTCGAGTCGTTCTCCTCTTCATATAGTCCCCATCCCAGCCTAGAATAGCATCCTTCAAGCGGAAGCTAAACATCGCCTGCCGCCCATCGGATGTACTAATCTGACGGTAAGGCTTAGAAAGAAGAAAGAAAAAAAAA